TATATAGTCGCGGAAATGAAATAACGTGGATAAGGAGCAGGTTAAAGTTGAATTCCGCTTATATGTATACGCGACATTCAAAACAGGCGTGGTATATTGCGACAGTATCTCGTGCACATTGGTAAAATTATTCTTTCGTTTGTGCAAGTCCGGATCTGCCTTTCAAATAAAGAAGCACCCGTACGCTCAGAATAACTTTGATTAGAATTAACATTTCCATATATTTTTCCAAGCTGGCAGCAGCGTTTATCGCGAAGCTAATTTATGGTTCATGCACAGTCAAATTTTTCTTCTTTATTAGTATAAAAATGATTAAACTCTCGCGATCCGGAGAGCAGTAAAAGTATTACAAGTTATTTTATGACATAGCAATTATACTGCGCTATTCTGATTTTAAAAAATATTTTACGTTACAGAAATAAAAAGTTAATTTTATAGACAATATTATATTTAGCGCTATTATTTCTACAAGTTGAAAAACATCGCAAACATAGTTGTGTAATACTCTTAAAAAATAAAACATTTTGCATCTAATTACAGAGAACTATGATTATACACAAAATGTGATGAATCACACATGTTTCGCAACATTTTGTACGACATACATATAATAGTAATTAAAAATTTATTATAATAGTAATTAAAAATAATCTTAATATCTCAAAAATATTTGTAAACAAAATTATAACTGTAATACTAAAAATTACAAATACATGTCTTGTTTAAAAAATAATTTAAAATGAAAATATCTTAAAATCAACAACGATTATATGAGGATCATTTAAAAAGTTTTGAGCCTCATTATGAGAATGGCATTACTCGTCAAAATCATTCTAGTATTACAATTATACATGTTTTGAAAGATACCTGTAAAATTGTAGCCATTTTGAACGCTTAATCGTTATTTGACAGTCATTTGTGCCAGTTCATGTTTTTGTAAAAATGGGAACAGTCGAATATCAGCGGTCACCATGACAGAAATTTATAAATTGCGGTTCGAATTGATTGATCATCCGTATTCACCAGCTCTAGCTCCTAACGACTTTTTCTTGTTTCCTAGATTGAAATAAAATCTTAATCTAAAATTTGTATTTTTAATACGTCACATCATTATCTTGATGAATAATTAGCATTATTGACGCAAAAAGTCTTTGTGTCAACATCATAAATATATTATTTAAGATAAAATTAATAGATTTTACAATTGTAATAAATTTATTATCTGAGTTAAAAATCTTATTATTAAAATCTTATTGTATCTTTTAAGATAAGAGTGTAACTTCGTAGCACATATTGACTCTAATAATGAAATAAGACTCGTACAACGCTAATATTCTTAGAATTCCTGCTCTATAAAATCATTTTTTTGTAAATTGTTTTTTTTGGAAAAGTAATGTAAAATTATTTTAAAATAGATGAAAGTATGCAATGAATAAAGTGAAAAAAATTAGAGTTTTGGAAAACATAAGATTTTTAGAAAATCTATAGAAATCCATTTTGATTTCGTATATGTACTCCAAAATCTGATATTGTCTATATACAGAAGGACTACTTTCACAGTTTTGATTTAAGATAAAAAAGTTTTCTTATCTAATTGTAAATGAAATCATTCATAGCTTATTATCTTTAGACTATATAATAGATTAAACATTCTAACGGTGTGGAAAACACTTTGATTGCTTTAAGCTTTAAACGAACAAGACTGTTACAACAATTCGAGAAGCCACCAATCGCCAACGTTAGGGCTCTCTTGTCGTCTTCTACATAGTTGTCGAAGCGTCACCCGGGATAAGTTCGATCGTTAAAGCTAAAGAATGCGACACCATATACATCGCCTAGCGCGAAACTTTTCGAGGACCACCTGAAGCAAGTTTAACAATCGTCGAATTCGCCAAATAGATGCGATATCGGGAAAAACAAGCGGGATACGATTCTGCAATGGAAAGACTTTCTATGAGGAGGGAGGGAGGGGAGAAAGGGAGAGGAGAAGAGTGAGAGAGAGAAAAAGATAAAAACATTTATTGCTGTTCTAGAACAAGTTTTCTAAGCAGAATTGAACAGAGAATGGATTTGAATAGATTTTGACATAAATACATCTAGATCAGTAATTAATAATTAATAATTAATAATTCGCACACATGTATTAATAATTAATAATTCACATATATTAAAATTACTATAAGAAAGAATCATTATTACATTTTCCGTTTAGAAATAATAGAGAAAAAATTTGAACATACAGAGAGTAGAAGCGCAGAAGTATTATCAGCCAATGCGAAGAGCTAGTATAGATAATATTTGCACGCGGAGAGAAAATTCGAGTTCTAAAAGAAATTTATTAGATTAAGAATTCTGAAGAATTATTGTATAGAATTTTTCTAAAGTATTACTTCGAGAGACGCTAGTCTACGCTACGCTGTTGCAAATGGCGGAAAAGTTCACTCCTAAATTCACGCAGCAATGACGATGACGAGGGGGGAGGGGGAGGTAAGGAGTTCTACATCAATGCTCCAGTGTTGAAGAAGGAACGCTGATAAATAGAGGTCCTGCAAAAAAAAACTACAAGGTCGGAGGTGGAGGAACACGAGGGCTTACGCGAATTGGAATAGAGACGGAGGTGGGAAGGTAATATGAGAAGATTCCAAGCGCAGAATGATATAAATGAGACAGCACGAAAGGAAAATTCTGCGATCAGTGGAGAGCCAATCGAGTGAATTATATAGATGGGAAACATGATCGTCCCTGCGTAAATCAAAGATGAATTGCAAGCGTTCATCAATCACCTCAATCAGAATCTCTGATCATTAAGTCCGAGAAAATCGCGGTGCAATAATCAAAAATAGGGAAGATGAGGAAAGACACGAATCGAACTCGCAGCGGTCTAGAGAGAGACTGTTCCTGTAGTGTTTAAGCCCCCAGAGAATCCCATGTACCTTATTGAAAACCGCATAGACGTGCTCAGTCCACGAAAGATTGTTAGTGATGTCAAGATCAGTCACCTGATTGACTATCTCGAGGCATAGAATTCGACTTTGATGTTGCGAGAACAATCTATGTGATTAACATATCTAGTGCTTGCCAAGAGCATGGCCTTGGTTTTACCGACATTCATGGCTTAAAGCCATTTTTGGGCACTCAAAGCTCCACCGCCGTGATATCAATCCTCAACCTATCCAGAACCGCAATGGGATCACAAAATCACTAATGGGAAAATGTATGTATATTTAAAGATCGTCGGCATAGAGCGTGTACTTACAATGTCTAAAGATGGAAGATTGATAAAGAGATTGAATGATAAAATAAACAATAGAGGACCAAGGACGGAGCCCTAGGAGACACCAGCATTAACTGAGGCCCAATAGGGAGCATCAGGTCCTCGAACGCGTTGGGACCTGCCTCTAAGATAGAACTCGAACTATGCAAGGACAAGAAATAGAAAAATCTATCAGCTTGTGGAGGAGCAAATCGTGGAGGACGGAGTCAAAAGCCTTAGTGAAATCGAACAAGACAAGCAGGATCATCATCCGTTTGTCAATGGCCTGCCTGATGTCATCGACGACCCGCACCAAGACGGTCTATGTGCTGTGGTCCCTCCGAAAATCAGCCTGGAAGGGGTTTAAGAAAAGGAAGGAAGTGGGATAGAAAAAAGAGCTGATCAAACACGACGCGCTCCACGATTTTAAAGAGGTAGCAAAGGATAGAGGTCGGGCCAAAATCGGATGGCGTAGAAGAGCTCCGTTTTAGGGATGGGGATAATATGTGAGGACTTCCAGGATGAAGGAAAAGTAGAAAAAAAAGTGAAGAGATCGAGAATGACAGGGAAAATGATAGGGGCTGTCAATCATAAGACGCCGATTTATACGTCTGGTCCAAAAGAATTGGACGAGCTTGAATAGATTGTCTTGCTAAGAGCGTCAGGAGTTATATGAAGAAAGTAAAAGGAAGATGAATTAAAAGAAGAGGAGAGAGGAA